CCTTGGATTCAGATGTAAGAGCGATGACTATTCAGTCTGAAAGGTAAAGAGTTTTTTTTTTCTTTTTGTACTAAGAATGGAACTCAAATAAGCACCTGCCAGGCAAGTACAAGGTCCTGAGTTCAATCTCTTGTTGCAAAAAAAAAAAAAAAAAAAAATGGAACTCAGGACCTTGCACTTGCCAGGCAAGTGCTGTATCCTGGGCTATATCCTGGCCCTAAAGGGTCAGAGTTGGATGGATTTGATACAGGAAGCAACAAGTCTAGGGGCATGGGTTGAAGGAAAAAAGAAATAGGTATGAGTATAGTGCACCACCCGCGAGCAGAAGCCATCGTCTTGGGGAACTTGATAAGGGACAAGAGGAGAGCGAGACGGAAGAAAGGAGTCAGGGACAGGTCCTTTCTAGATAAAAAGCTGAATTTATTGGGGAGCATCTGAAAGTTCTGGGGAAGGGAGCTGGAGATGGACAGCCATGCGTGGTTTAAAGACATGAGAACCAACGTTCAGCGACAAGTGTCCTCCTTGGGAAGAATTCCTCTAAACTGATAATGAAAGAAGCAAGAAACCGTGAAAAGACCTGTGTTTGAGGAGGCTTCTGAAACACGGAGTCTTGACTGGCCGAGAGCTGGTCTCTGTTCCCATCTATTTCGGTTAGAAAACCTGATGTGAGGTGGTCGCCACTGCACAGTGCCCACTGACAGCCAGGGAGGCCACATGGCCAGAGCAGGGCTTCCCCCCTTCAAGGCCCCAGACGAGTGTGTATCTGCAAGCATGTGTGTGTACATTCGTGTGTGTGTACGCGTGCATGTCGGCGGCCTTGGGCAGATGGGTTCTTCACCCCACCCAGTGGAATCTGGAAGCTCCCACGGCAGCACGAGGCACAGAGTGGTGCGCTGCACCGGGGCTCTGAGCCTGCGGCAGCCCTCGGCACCCTCGCCACTACAGGGCTGCGCGTGCAAGCGGCCCGCAAGCTGCTCTGTGCGTGCACGTTCCTGGGGCCTTTCCAGCTCCTCTCTCCCCTCGGTGGCACCTACCTGCCTTTCCACCTGATCACACAGTCGGGCCACCAGGGACCAAATGGAGAACATTGGTTTTCAGAGCCCTGTGTGTTTCTTCTTCATATCTTTCTAAACTTGTGCTTTTTAAACTAACCATTTTCTTACTTGAAAAAAAGCATTAAAATGTGTAAGCCCAAAACTCATAACTTGCGTTGCTTCGGGATATACTTTTTCCTTTTCCTGACTGGAGACGACAGACATCAGAGCTAAGCCCTAGCCTGAACACAATGAGAACCTTCACTCTGTGCCCTCCCTCCCAGTCCACATGGTGGACTCTGCCTGAGGACTTCCGCCGGAGACAGCAGTCCCCAGACCCCTCTCCTGGAGCCCTGAGAGGTCCCACTGGCCGTGCAGTTCTCCCTGCAGTCCTTGCTGTTGTAGCGCTCTCCCAGGCGTGAGCAGCGAGCTCTCTGTGGAGGCCCAATGCAGAATGTGGACATGGAGCCGCTAGGCCCGCTTGTCCCAAGGCGAGGTGGGGTCTGTGTTTCCTGGCGTGCGAGTGGGAGCCAGAGGAAAGCTCATGCCCTGGGTTGGTGGAGATGCAGCTGGGGGAGGCGCCCAGTGCAGAATGACAGAAAGGCTTTCCAGGTAGGACGTGGTAGGTCTGCCGAACCTTGCAGAGCAGAGCAAAGAGGAAGGTAGGCAGCATCTCCACAAGCTCACCATTTTGCTCCTGAGAAGAGAGGACTCAACACAGCAGTGCAGACTGGCTGACAGAGCCGAAACTCAGGGCCTGTCCAGGAGAGGGCCGAGGAGCTGCGCCCTGCTGTCCTCCCGCCTGTTGTGGAGTCAGAGCTCAGCAACCCCTGGGCCCCTTTCCCCTAGTTTATGTTGAGCTGCTCTGAGGGCCACGGGGAGACAGAAGGGCTGGGAGCCATGGGTGTCCTCCCTGGATGGCAGTAGCCTGTCCGAAGTGCTCAGGCTGAGACACTGATGAACATTTGCAAGTAGATTGCTTAAACATCCTTAAAGCACAAAGATTTCTTTTTTTCTGTTTTTTTTTTTTTGTTTGTTTGTTTTTTTTTTTTTTTTTTAAGAGTGACCATTAGTTCTCATTGGCTTAATTTTGTGCATGTCTTTCTCAGGCCTTCTCTTCAATTTTTGTTTAAGAAATAGTTGGTGGAACCAGAACATTAGGTGATTTAAAAGTGAGGCCTAGTTTTCACACATTTATGCCCCTACTTATCTACCAAATTGAATGTCAATTTGTCTGAAATATTTCCCACTAGCCTTGGACAAACTATAAGATTCACTGCTTTTTAAACTGGTGCTACGCTTCCCCACCCCTATGCTCTGTGGTCCTGCTCCTGGGCAGAGTGCTTGTGTCTGCATGGGCTACTGCATCACATCTGACGCACCACGAGTCCTGTGCCTCAAGGGCGGCAGGAGTCCTTGTCTTCAGCTCTGGCCCCTTCTTTCCACACCCTCTCCTTACCTTCCTGTGGCTCTCTCTCTCTCTCTCTCTCTCTCTCTCTCTCTCTCTCTCTCTCAATGAAGCACAATTTCACACAGAGTGTTCCAAGTTCAGCAGGATTTACAGAAGGCCAAAGGGCCCTCAGTGTGTGCTCCTGCCTGCTAGATGCACATATGCCAAGAGAATGTGCTGTCTCAAGGGGAGATCTTGTGCTAGTCCACACCATCTGGTTTGGTGCAGACAGACTACTCAGTTACCTGGTGAAGTGAAATCTCGGCTTTCCTCAGCCCATTTGCTATGAAATGGTTGCAAAAGTCAGAGGTGAGGAGAAGACAGTATCTTCTAAGTCCTCAGCTCAGCTGTCCCCAGGACATAGGCACCCATCACGTGGCAGGAAGCAGAGGACACAGAGCTAAGTGACAGCCGCAGCTTCCAAAGTACCCAGCATAGGGTCAGTTTCATTCCCAAAGAACCTTTTACAAAGAGTGCTGTTTCCTCGAAGGGCCTCCTCCGAAGTACACGCTTGAACCAAACACTGCTGTACTCTCGGTATTTTCCCACGTGAAAAGCTGAGTCACCTGCAGTGCGGTGGCAGGCTGGTGACGCTGGCCCTGCTGCCCTCGCGCTGGGAGCTGGATTTCCATCTGTACCACACCCAGCCCAGCCCATGTCTGGCTTGCACTCTATAGAATGTGGCAGGACTGCAAAGGCAAAAGCAAAGCCAGCAGGCCTCCTCTGCTGAAAGACACTCTCTTGGCCTTCAATTCTAAGCCGAAGATAAATTTTAAGATCTATTTATAAGAGATGAAAGTGTCTACTGCTCTGCAATCTTCTTAAACATGCAGAGCTAAATCCCTGCAGAGTTCTTCAACGTGACTCCTGCTTTGGCACAGGCCAGCAGCCCGAGGCCTGGATGTTAAGGACCATGGTGCTAGGCCAGGATCCCTCCTACATGTACTTGTTTTGCTTATTTTGTTTGCTTGCTTGCTTTATTTATTTATTTAATTTTTTTGGGCTGAGCAGTGAACCTTGGGCTTCCTGCATGCTGGACAAGCATTTTGCCACTAAGCAACATCTTAGCTCGCCCCATCAGTCCACCACCCACACTGAGCATGGAGCCTGTTTCCAGTCTGTAGAGGGTGTCTACTTTGCTTACTGAGGCCACTAGGCACCTGGGGTTCCTGAACGCACATCCCTAGAAATAACGTGCTCAGAACCTGTGTGGATCCATTACGATTGCGTTGGCGAGGTGCGGCAGCCGAGCGGCATGATGGGGACCTCAGCTCAAAGTAGTCGGTCAACGAATTGAACCCACTGATTAGACTCCTTAACAATTAAGTCTCGTAGTTGAAGAATGAAATGTGTGCTTTGAACATTGAATTTCGCCTAAATCCTGGACTTCCTCGAAAGCTTGTGCATCCAGAGCCTTACTGTGAGGCCCAGCACTGCCTTCTAACGCCCTCTGGGGTATAGACAGTGTCCTCATGAGCAGTAGTCGCCAATGCAGGAAATGTGTCATTACAGCGAAGCAACATAAAACAACATCTTCATTCTTAAATTTGTGCAGCTTTCAGACCATCATGAAAGGCGAGACGTACTTCACTCTAGCTTTGGCACCTTACTTTAGGCCAAGCACCTCAGGGCAGGAGCTGTTTGTCTCAGATACGCCTTGACTGACAAGGCCAGGGATGCAATTCTGTTCCTGCACCTCACCTCTGTGGTTAAATGAATTGGTCACTAAATGAAGAACTGTATATAGCATGTACGTGACAGTGCCAAGAACAACGAAAAGGCCAAAGCAACTCCAACTCGTTGGCTCTGCCTTTAGTTGACTAATTCTTACACATAGTATTTCAGAGTTAACAGAACATAAACTCCAGCACTGTGCAGGACAACCGGCAACAATTACAGTACTATGTAAACACTGTACAAAGATGATATTGAGGCTGTGTAAACAAGATGCACAGAACTGTAAAAGGGAAGATGGGTCATAGGACTGAACAAGAGCCTCAGTCAGAAGTCCAAGTAGTCCTTACATGGACCAGTCATTAAACGTGGAAGGAATGTCTACAGCCATCGTCCTTTCTGTCCTCACTGGCCAATGGCTGGCTCCAGACCCTCGTTCTGAATACATCCAGTTTCTGACTGATTCAGTTTCTAAAGAGGATCTCAGGGGGTCCCCGGCTGCTAGGAAGCAACAGACAGCTTAGAGGTGTAAGAGTTCAGAAAGCCAGCCCCAAGCCGAATGTCCTGGCATCATTTCTACAAGAAGGCAGGTCTCACCCACAGCAACGTGGACAAGTCGCTGGCGTCCAGAGGACACAGAAGAGCCACCCGTTCGGGTGTGCATCCAGCGCCTGGGCGAGCGGGCGTGCCCACTGGGTTAGAGACACTGGCGTGGCAGAGCAGGAAGCTGCGTGGTGTCATCGCTGTGCTATTCCAGGAATCAGAGCCGTGGCCCAGCTCTTTATAAGGTTGCTCCAGCATGCCACTCGGTCCAGGCTCGCCCTGACGCCCAGCTGTCAGCTATGAGGATCCACTACCTCCTGTTGGCTGTGCTCTGCTTGTTCTTGATGCCGATGCCAGGTAAGATGGCGGGGAAATAAGGGGGTATAGCAGAAGAGAGTGGCGGACCACCCAGTCAGTCCCTCTCTGTTCTTCAGGGAGCTGTAGACATAGTAGACCTGGCATACAAGAACGGCTTCCAAGGGCTTGCCCGTGTCTGGCTCCAGTCCAGTTGTGAATGTCAGTCGGGCTGGCCTAGGCACTAAGAGAGCTCAACACCACATAATTTAGTTTTCTCCCTAAGAAGATATATCAGGAACCTTAAAGTGGTTCTTTATTGTGTGTTTTGTTCTATTCTAAATCACAAATGCTATCTTTTCACTTATCATTTCATAAGACAAATATTTCAGAGATATGAAAAAAGTAATGGGAAAATTTGACTTCATCAAGAAAGACTGACTTATCCTGAGGATTTGACTAAGTATAGTGGGTAGAGGCTCCGTGGCAGGACCACTGTGGCCAGGACCCCCTCGTGTCCTGCCAAAGGTGGCAGAGCTAAGACCACTTCCTACATCACATGTGGGCCGAGACTAAACTGTACTGACAGGGACATTGGCTATTGGTTGCTTATCCACACCTTGACTGCCCTCTTGATTTTTACTGAAAAGAAAAATAGATAAAAACTACAAAAGAAACACAACAGATGAGTTATTTGGGGAGTTGCAAAGTCCTTGTACTTGCTCCAGAAAGTTCTCATGTATTGTTGTTTCTGTTCTTTCTTCTTCCCTTTCATTGCAGGCGAAGGAGGGCTCATCAGTGCCGTGCAAAGATACTTCTGCCGAGTGAGAGGGGGCCGATGTGCTGCCCTCACCTGCCTTCCACGGGAGACACAGATAGGCCACTGCTCACTCAAGGGCCGGAAGTGCTGCCGAAGGAGGAAGTAAAGATCCAGAAGCATGACGGATACTGCGAGGATGCCTTCCTCAAGCGTATAAAGACAGAAGTGAATTAAATATATTTTCTAAAAAATTAAAAACTTGATTTAAAAAAAATTCCGGTTCTTGGAGTAGTTGTTACCAAATAGAGCCCGCTGCTCACCTGCCTTACACTGAAATGAAGCAGCATCTCCCTGAGAATCTGCGAAGGTGCCCCGCTGACTTTCCCTGAGGCCGCAGGGTCTATCTCAGCTTTTGTAACTTCCGCACCAGCCTCCTTTCCTGCTGCAGGACTCCTGTGCTCTCCTGTGCCTGTGCCTTTGCACTTTCCAGGCCTTCTACTGAAGAATTCAGCTCTTCCAATTCCACCAAATGTCAGGGCACTCTTCAGGGCCCTCCTACCCTCCCGAGCCCTTCACTCCCCCAAGCCATGGCCGCCTGACTCCGCCTCGCTCCGCTGCATCTCCTGGGCTCTGCTCTGCCGATCTCCCAACAGCTGCCTTACCCTCAACGCTCCCATTTTTTCTCTGGAATTCAGCCTGCCCCCAGTTCTGGCTCGGGGTCGCCCACCTTGGAAATAACTGGCTTGCCCTGGATGGGTCCCAGGCTCTGGCCTGAGTCCTCCATCTCTAGATCTGCCTTTCTTCCTGCACCCTGCCTGTCTCTATACCTGATCAAGGTCCTGTGAGCAAGGACCTAGTCCTGCCATCTCTAGACCGCTCCACAAAGTGCCGTGTGCCTGAGAGCTTCTCAATAGGTGTTTTTTTTTTTTTTTTAATTTATTTTATTTATTTATTTATTTATTTATTTTGTGTGTGTGTGTGTGTGTGTGTGGCCAGCTCAGCCCACCAGGGGGCGGGGCTGGCTGGCATGTGGTGCTGGGGGATTGAACCGTGGTCCCTGTGCTTTGCTAAGCTTGTTCTAAGTAGGTGCGTTAGACCACCGAGCCATCTCCCCAACCCCACAATAGGTGTTTGTTGACTAGGAGGGGACTCACATCTTTTGTATCTACAGCCATTCAACTATTAGTGCAATGAGGGGCCCCTGTCACCAACACCAGGACAAAGGACCACAAGTAAAGGGCCTAAGATGATATAGCTGAGCTCTCAGAAAGAGAAGAGCAGAGAATCCCCAAATGAAAGGCTGGCCCTCATCTTCCATTAGAAGATGCTCACTGCCTTGAGAACTGCCCTCAGCGGTGCACAGGGATAGAGCAGATGGAAGATGCAAGGTGGTTGCTTTCAGCCAGGGGCCCAGCGCAGGTTGGGATGGCAGAAAGGAGCAGTGTGGTGAGGCTCATGGCTGCCCCAGCCTGCAGCAGGGCTGGACCAATGCCCAGGGCAGGATTCACACAACCAACAATGGTGAGGTGGGGAAAAGATGGAGGAGACCAAACAGCATGAGATCTGGGTTTCCAGGGTGGATTCCTTGCGAGAGGTCAGCACTGGGAGGAGAGGGAGCTGCTGAGTACTGGAGCATTGGGGAACCTTTTTGTTAAAACTTCATAGAATGGGAGAGAAACAGAAGCACCCAAAAGAGGGTAGGTGGCCAGTGTAGGAGCGCACAGGGGCCTGGGAGGGGCGTGTTTCTGCAGCAAAACAGAGACGTCGGGGTCTTCCTATAGAAACCACCTTGGCAGTGCTGTTGTTTAGGTACATAAGGAAACTCTGCAAACTCTAGCAAGGCTTTGGAAGTCTCCCTTAAAAGGATCAGAGTGACCTGTACAAACCTTAAATGTGAGCCAGACTAAAGCTTGTCTTTCTTTAAGGGCAAGATTTATTGTTCACCAATTTAGGCTTTTTAGGGTACTGAATCCAGTCAAAACCCATCAACATGAGAAGAAGCAAGGAATGCAGGCCACGACCATGTGAAAGATCATCCAGTAAACGCCTAGGGGTGGTGGAGACACTGGGGTTGGCCAAAAGAGATACACAGGAGTGATCATCAATTGTGTAGGTACATGGGCCAGGGAGATAGCTCAGTAGAATAAGCACTTGCCTGGCAAGCACAAGGTCCTGAGTTCAACCCCTGGTACCTCAAAAAAAAGTTGTATAAGTATGCAAAAGGCTGAAAGGAAACCCTTTGGCGATTAGGAAAGAGATGAAAGAAAGAACCAAAGGAAAGTTCTGGATATGAAACATACAAAACGAAAAGCATAAGGCTGAACTGCATTCAGAGTGGGTGACAAGAAGGCAAGAGTTATAAGCCTACATCTATGTTACTACCAAAAAAGAATGAGTAAAGCAAAGAGAGACAAAGGCTAAAAGTAAATTAACAGTGACAGCGTCTGGGAGTCGCATGTGTAGGCGTGTGTGCAGGGAGCTTTGGAGGGAGAAGCAGCCTGGAAAATAATGGCGCAGTGCTTTCCAAATTTGGGAGGACTGAGGGTCGACAATGATAAAAGACGCATGTTCAGTGGAGGGTGAAAAGAGAGAGAGGAAAGGGAGGCACGGAGCAGGCTCTTCGGCCGCATGGGCAAGCCAGAGGAGTCCGCCTGGATTTCCCTACCAGAGAAAAGGAAAGCAACAGCACTTTCTGACAAAAACAACAAAGTTAAAGGAATTCCACACCAGAAAACCTGCCATGTAGCGCTCAGGCCCTGAGAGAAGTATCTGTGAGAACTTGGACTCTGTGGGACAGAAGGAGCAAGCGGGTGTCCCCATTCCAGCAGCTCCGGAGAGAGCGTCAGGTCTGCATAATGTGAGGCCTCGAAGCAGGTCCTCTGCCAAAACCTCACGCTGAACGCAAACTGTGGGGACAAAGCACACGGAGCAGGAAAAGATGGAAATACATGTATGTATTGTCACGCATGCATATTGACATATATCATGAATATATCAGAGAAAACAAAATCATCTCTGTTGGCTATTTGACTATAAAGCAAAGTAGACTTTATAACAAAAAGAAAATATTTGCAAGGATTGTAGGGGAGTGTTTTTCCTAATGAAAAATGCTTAAGCCACCAAGAACACAAATAAATACTAAACCTGCCTGCCTATTAACATCTACCTATTAAAAGAATTTCAAAATTCTTAAAACAAATCAGTAGAAATGAAAGAATGGGCAAATTAAAAATTACAACCAGATAGGTCAGTACTTTTTCATTGCAATAATCAGAATGAATAGACAAAATGCCAGATAAATTAAGGGAGCCCTGAACAACATTTTACCTCAATGTGACCTTTTGAAATTTATAGCCCACTCCTCTCCATGATGACGGACTGCATCAAAGGGTCACCCAGTCTCAAACAACCCAATTTAAAGTCATACAAAATAGGCTATTTTGTCCCAGTGGAATTTCAAAGGACTGCTAAAAGAACATCTTGAAAAAGTTCTCAATTATTTAGAAAGTAATCAATGTGCTTTTTATTATTCCAGAAAAATCACAAGAGAAACTACAAAATATTTTGAAGTGATTGAAAAGGAAAACAGTATTACCAAGTTTATAGAAATAGAGCTAAAATCCTGCTTAGGGGGCATTTTATAGCGACAAATATTTCTCAACTATAAAGTAGAAAGCCTCCAAATCAGCACTGTTAAGCTTAGCCACTAGAAACTGGAAAAAAAATGCTAAACTCAAAGTAGACAAGACAGCAATAAATAAAGTAGGCACCCAATACAATTTTTTTTTTTTTTTTTTTTTTTTTTCCGGAACTGGGGATTGAACTCAGGCCCTTGCCCTTGCCAGGGACGTGCTTATTCCACTGAGCCATCTCCCAGGCCCCTTCCAATACAACAGTTAAAAATAAAATCTGACTTTGAGAAGATCAATAAAAATATAGTTTTCACTGTGCTCATTAAGGAGAAAAACATAATTCCGAGGGTGGGGGTGCACATGTGGTGCACACGGGCTTCTGTCCAGTCCGGTGCCACAACACAGCACCACCGCCAGGTGGCACTCCTTGCAGGTGCACTGCCATCTCTTGCTCTTTGCTGAGTCCTGCTGTCACCTCAGGAGGCTGGGAAGGATGCCCCAGCACCAACGGAGGCTGGGGTTTGGAGGATGTTATTCCAGCTTTGAGGCTGGGGGCAAGAAGGGGCGAAGCTATCAGAACACCATGGAGACTGGACTTGGAAGAGAAGCTGATTTCGTTGCCCAGGACATCTCTGCCGCTTAGCAGCAAGGTGACCTTGGACATGTGTCTTGAGGTCTGGAGCCCCCGACCTTCGTCTATGAGCCTGAGACACACGATCTGGCAGTTTGTTAATGAGGACCGAATAATCTAACTTATGTAAAAGCGGCCAGAAGAGAGCTGGCTACAGGATTTGTGTGGCTAAAACCGAAATGAAAACATGGGGGCTGCTTGCTCAAACACAAAGAAAAGAAATAAGATAAAGGTGGTAGGAGATAAGCTTTTGTTCTTTTTTTTTATAATTTCCAACAGGAATAGTTTATTTTTTAAAAAACTGCTTTAGATTTGATATCATAGTCCTGTTAAGCTTTTGTTCTTTAAAAATACTTTATAAAGTATAAAATCTAGCAAGGAAAACAGAAGTCCCAGGTTGCCCTATGTGGAGACTCTTCTTTTTCTCTAGGTTTCAGGTTGTTATTGTGGTGGTGATGGTGGCGATGGTAGAGATAGTGGTGGTGGTGGTGATGGTGGCGATGGTAGAGATAGTGGTGGTGGTGGTGATGGTGGTGATGGTGTTCTTGTTGTTGTTGTTGTTGTTGTTGGTGGTGGTGGTGGTTGTGGTGGTGGTGGTGGTGATGGTGGTGGTGGTGGTAGTGGTGGTGGTAGAGATGGTGGTAGTGGTGGTGGTAGAGATGGTGGTGATTTTGGTGGAGGTGGTGGTGATGGTGGTGGTGGTGGTGGTGGTGGTGGTGGTGATTTTGGTGGAGGTGGTGGTGATGGTGGTGGTTGTGGTGGTGGTGGCGGCAGTGGTGGCAGTGGTGCTGCTGCTGCTGCTGTCGCGATCCCCATCACCACCAGCAGCCTTAGGTCCAAGGTGCCTAGCCACTCTGGGCGTGCTCCAGACAGCCAGGCCAACCTCCCCAGCAGGCCCAGGGC